GCCTGTCCTGCCTCGACGTTCACGTTACATTCTGAACATGGTATGCTCCCCAGCTAGTGATCCATGCAACAAAGCACATGAAAGTTGTCTCTAACTCAAGATGGAGTGACCATTGTGATAGCATGACTCATCAAGATGTTGAAAATAAACCCTTAAGAATTGGGGAGTGAACTGTCATTGATAAGTTTATAATTCTTGCATGTTGGGGTAGAAGACTGAAAATTGGATCTCCCAAGTGTCATTTCAAAATATAAGTTATGTGTACGTTTAAAATAGCACAGTTCAAACATATGTGCTGGCTAATCATCCAGCATAACATCACACTGAGAATGCTACACCTTGGAGCTAACGTGGGAAGTTGTTACAAAAGGATGTGTTTTGCCTTAAGAATATTCATATCCTTGCCCTCTTGGGTAAATTGGTGGTTGAAGAATTATTGCCCTTTGAAGTTTGGAGGTTAGCACACACAAAGTTGGTGCGCAGTACATCTTGGAGACAACACACGAACGGCTAGCAATCTGTAAATCTCTGGTTAGGTGAGCTGTTACATACACTATAAAGAATGACAAAGACCTTAGGTACTTTTAAAGTCTGCAGGCCTGTGAAACTACAGTGGCAAGGTAATGGACAGTGTGGGTTCCAAGTAGTCAATGAGGAAAGTTCCTTGATGTTACAGTATTGTAACTACTGCACTATGCTAATTGCAGTTACTCATGAGAGTAACCAACCTGGTTGTGCCATTAGCTTTGTTGGGAGTCCCAGATTGGGTTGCTAATGGGATCTGATAAAAGTGGGGTAGTGTAGGTAGCAATTGTTTCCCTGCTTTTGCTTTAGTCATTCTATTACTGCCTTATAAGAAATCAAAAGTCTAGTAAGGTGCTTGAAAATTTTCACTAATTCTTGGTTGGTTTGAGTAGCAATAGGAATCTATTCTAAGGAACATGGCAATATCATGGTCAAGTAGAAGAAAAGGTTCCAACTTTTTTGAAGTAATAAAAAATGTGCTGATTGAAATTTCATCTCCTTTTCCTTAGTCTGTCCATGAGAATGTGCTGTGTGGAAGAGTAAAAGGGCCCAACTAAATGTGTTCCAGTGATTCTAATAGGTACTCCAAATTAATTGCTGCTTGTACATTTTATGTTGATACTAGGTTTTCAGGTCACTGAAGCAACTCTTATGAAAAAGTGGGGAACAGATAATTAGCTGGACTGTCACAGGGAAGGTTTGCTGGTTCTTCCGCTGCGTGCTTAATTCTGGCCAGTGGCCTTTTTGTAGGCTTAGGATAGGATAGGCAAGTAAACCCGAGTCCCTTCAAGGCTGGATCTTATTGTTGGTTTAGATTCCTTTTGCACTTACACATTTACTGTAAGTAAAAACTTCAATAACGCAAAGACATGGATCATCTCAAAGGTGTTTTCCTGCATTTATACTGTTAACAGGTTCACTAGCAGGTTCATTTGAAAATGAATTGGTCCTTTTGGAACGTGAAGTAATATATCGTGAAATTGACAAAAATCGGCTAGGAAATAAGATTTGGAGCCAGAAGGAATTGAAAGGATGTGATTTCCTTTTGCTCTGATTATTCAAGAAGTTGTAAGCTTGGGGGGGTTGGTTAATGAATTTCCCCAATACACTAACAACTAGATGGAATTAACATTTGGCTGTTTTTGATTCTAATGGAGCTGCTCAATTAAATATATGGCTCTTTGGATAGTAGGCATCTTGTTTTTATAACCATTTATAGTCATTTGAGAACATTTGCTTGAAAAACCCTTTGAATTTAGAGGAATTTCATGTTTTATTTCACATGATGTAATGAGAAGAAACTTCCAAGAAGCCAGTATTAATACATACATACATCGGTGACTAATGTAATATCCCCTAGCAGTATGGCATATTAGGTTTTCAATCCAGTACTGGAATTGATATCAGCTGTTACACTGACCTAAAATTCAAAATGAACAGAAATCTTGAGTATCTGAACACAAATAGTAGTGTCCTTAATTTAAAAACACTTAAAATGTCCTCTCATTCTAGAAAATGGGAAGATTAAGGAGAATTCAGTGCTTATAAGCATTCATATGTTTGCAACACGTTTATAGTGCTTATATTACAAACTTTAAAATGTAATGCTTTGAAGAATATGCTCACAATAAAGATTGTTTTGTCCTAATAGCTCCCTTTTAAAAACCTAATGTGCAAAATAAGCTGTGTTAATTAACAGTAGTTGGGTGGTAGGGAATATTGGTATATTCCTATATTTACTCAATTTGATGATTTGGACTATTAAGAGGTTTCCAAAAACATACATCAACATTACAGTAATTGTTTTAACTTTCTCTACTTTCCTTGATAAGATTTCCTGCTTACACAAAGAATAGCATACAATGTAACATGACTTTTGAAGGGGTGTCTCTGAACCCCTGCCACAGATTTCTGTCTTAGGAATAGAAGGATTCAAACCGTACTTGATCCCTAGCACTTTGCTGAAAAGTGCATAAACAGGAATCCTGAATTTATTATATAGACCTCCTCGCATTATGTAATCGAAGCAAAGGGAAACCAGCGATGGAGTAGAGGTACGTAGACGGAAGAGTTGCTTGCAACTCAAACACTGGTTCTAGAGAAGTCACAGTTTGCCCAGCTCCAAGAGTCAAGCTGAGAGGAAAGCTAAACTCCTGTGAAGTCCTTTCTCTAAGATGGAAACCGAGGGAGGAGGGGGGGCCTGGGGATTGTGTATAGCACAGTGAGACTGTAGTAGATGTGATAGATGATAGATGAGCCACACGGTTTTTAAACTACTAACAGTTAACAATTCTATTTTAATCAGCTACTTTAGCTGGTACCTCCTGCTATATCACCTAGTGTGAAAATTTTGGAATTAATGGAACAATGAAAGGAAGCTATGTGTTTGGAAGCTCCAAGTGGGCGTTGAAGGTAGGTTACTCTGAGGTTAAAAGCAGCAATGAGCAGGGAACATGAATTCTTAACACTTTGGGGCCAGATAATAGACGGGGAATGGCAAATTGCCAACAAGCAGCTTAGGCTCTCTGAGCAATGAAACCAGGTACAAACAGGCAATTTTGGTTCTGGAAGTTAATTAGCAAAGAAACGCAGAATTTAGGATTGTAAAAAATTTCATGGAGTGAAAAATTCTGCATAGAAGTAATGGTGGGGCTACAGATCTGCAGAACAAAAATGACCAAATGTTTTGGATTGCAGGGCGATAACAGACTGGAAAGCCGAGACCAATTTGGAGGCTTTACAAAGGGCAAAGGCATGACACAGGCCTAGTTATAATCTAAATTAATGTATTTCATGACGATAGTCTCAAAAGGAAAAGCAAGTCATTGATTTGACACATTGAAGAATTTCAGAAGTAATAAGTTGTGTCACAACTTTGTGTTTTTATCCAGGTCTCCAGCTTGTAGAATCACTGCTATGGAAATGCCTTTGTCATTGGTGTGAAGGTTCTCCAGCTGGGAAAGGTTTGTCTTGCCCAGGGTAAGAGGTAATCCTGTGTGTCAGCTAGAACAGTTTTAGGTAGTTGACCGAGCTGCCAAATTCTGTGTTGCATTTTTGTCCTTAGTAAAGCTGGCCACAAAGCTTGTTAAACAAGAGTGTACTGATAGTGTTCACCAATAATTTCCCCCATTTGTGTAATGCTGTCTTGAAATACAGGTGACAAACAAACACATGGAAATCTTGCTGCTTGGTTATGACTTGCACATAATGTAGACCTGTGAGAGCAGGCGCGCTCTCCTAACCATCCTCCTTTCAATGGTGGCTGTCAGACCACATGAGTAAAGGTGATGCCCACAAGCAGGTGAACATGGGAGGGAAGGAGCTTGTAACGGTTCTCATTGGGCCTTTGGAACAAGACAGAAAACATAGTGACAATCCTGGGACACTCTTCCTTGCTGTTCTCTGGCTTATTTTGAGCATCTGGGTAATAGAACCAATATTGGCCATAATCTTGTATATTGCTATCTTTTACTTTTTTTTTGAGATTAAGATTTATTTTTTTATTGGGAAGTCAGATATTCAGAGAGGAGGAGAGACAGGAAGCTCTTTAGTCTGCTGATTCATTCCTGAAATGGCCACAATGGCCAGAACTGAGCCAATATGAAGCCAGGAATTTATAGGTTTCCCATGTGGGTGCAAGGTTCCAAGGCTTTGGGCCGTCCTCAGTTGCTTTCCTAAGCCATAGGCAGGGAGCAGGAAGGGAAGTGGGGGCTTCTGGGATGAGAACCAGCACCCATATAAGATCCTGGCCCTTGCAAAGTGAGGACTTTAGCCACTAGGCCACCATATCAGGCCCATCTAATCTTGAAGTTAGAGCCAAAAATTTCCTTAGAAAGGATTATACCTGAATAAATGGATGAATACGATATTTAATTTCGTGCTGTTGGTATCTTTAAAGATTTGTTGTAAAAGCACATTTGCACAGACAGGAGATGGATCGTCCACCTGCTGGTTCTGGAGCTGAGCTGATTCCAGGCCAGCAGCCAGGGCTTCTTCCAGACTTGCATGTGGATGCAGGGTCTTAAGGCTGTGGAGCATCTACTACTTTACCAGCCACAAGCAGGGAGCTGGATGGGAAGTGGAGTATCTGGGACATGAACTGGAGCCCAAATAGAATCCCAGCATATGCAAGGCAAAGATAATAGCCACCAAGCTGTGGTGTTGAGCCCTGGGTGCTTTTTTTTTTTCCCTTAATGCTTTTCATGGCATCTGAATAGTTATTTTTGTATGATTCTATATTCTCTAGTATGCAGCAGCCTGCATACATATTTTTAAGCAGATCATGTTTGGTTTTTTTTGCAGATCGTGTTTTAAAATTATAAATGCTGCATATTTTTCACTTTCTGGAAGTAATATTTGTTTCTAAGGTTATAAGTCCAAGCAGGAGATAATGTATTTCTAGAAAATTCATTAAATTGACTAATTCATGGGACCAGAATAAATTGGAAGGTTTTATGCAAGTAAATACACATAAGACAAGTACACCAGTTTATTGACTTGCTTAAAGCTTTCTTGCACATAAGGCGTCTGACATCACGTCTTCAGGGAGCTGCGTTTTGGTTTTCTGGGCTTAAGGTTTCTCCATTGCTGCTTTTCTGTTGGGTTTGTTTTCTTTCAGGATCAAGGTGAGTACTTTCATATAAAATCTTATTTCTAATTCCTTCTCTGGCAATTCTCTCCTGGATTCTTTGCTTTGCATAATTGTACCTACAGTGGAACCTGGTAAGAAGAATATGAATAAATTGTTAATACAAAGTTTTTGGAGCAATCAACTATTGCTCTTTGTAATCTCACACTCCAAGACTGACTTACAAGGTCTGATTTGGAGTACCTTCAGTAATAAGTGTGAAAAGTGATCTTTTTGCCGGGGTAAAAAGATAAAACGAGAACATTTGTCACCTTAGTTTCTTGATTCATAGTACAATTTCATAAATATTTTGCATAGAAAATATATTTTTACGTTCATGCTCTATAATTTTCAGTAGTTGAACAGTTTTAAAGTAGCATTTTAAGATGTGATATGAACAAACAATTGAAGCCTTCCTAATTGAGTTTATACTAATGGAATGCCTATCATGTGTTCATCTGTCAAGTGATGAAATATGCATATGTGCTTGTAATGAGGCAGCGCATTCCAGTCATTTTGCTTCCTAGAACAGATTTTGCATGAACAAATCCTTATATAAAGTCAAGGTACTTCCTTGAGGATCGGACTCTCGTGGTGGAAAATGGTTCTGAATAGGGGAACACAGGTTTTCTTGACTACTTATAACGTACCAGCATCCTAAAGTCACCAAGATGAATCCTCCTACTCCAACATCACAGGATCTTCTGATTCTACCTGTTAAAGAAGCATAACCACTATGATGAATAATACTATCCCGTCTAAGGGAAACACCTGTGCATGTAAAAATGTTTGTGTACATAAGCAGGTACTCACTAGTAAACAAGAAGTGTCCCAGGCCACTTACAGCAGATCCCAGTGAACCGTACAATATGGAGTCCCGTGCACAGGGAGTGTTTTCAACATCTAAAATTCCTAGGAGTTTAAAGGTCTAGAATACAACAAAAGAATCTAGATTGAATGAGGACATTTTATTTTACTTTGGGGCAATCCATCAAAAAATCCAAATACCATTTCTCATACTTAAGATTTAGACTATAGTATTTTCCATGTGACAACTTGGATTCAGCTCACTGTGTCCTCTATACTGCTTTGGCATAAAATTTGAATTTGAAACCTTGGACATTTCATCAGAAAGCCTGAAGCAGATGGGGAACTGTTAGGTTAGTCTGATCAACTGATTTAAAACAATTTGGCTTTTGCTGCAAATAAAAAAATAATCTTAATTCCCTAAAATAATGACAGTAACTTGGAAAACATGAGGAAAAGCACTTTGGGATCCTGCTTGCTTGCAACATTGACTAGTACTGCTAAATGGTTTTATTTGTGTGTGTGTGTGTTAAATGAACATAATGGCTTTAAAAATAAATATTTCCTGTTACCATTAACACGGGCAGTATTATTCTTGTTGAAATGAGGCTGCAGTTTACTGCCACTGTTAGGTGTGAATAAAGCAGTGGGATCCAGAAAGCTGGTTTTGTTCTTTTCCTTGGTTATTTTTATTCTTGTGGCCTCTATTTGTAAAACAAGGGGTTTGGACTAGATGGTCAAGTTCCTTCATGTGCCTTCACTGGATTTATGAACAGTTTACCCAGGATGTGTGTCTTTCAGACTATCTCGGAGCTTTTGGGAGGGCAGGTCAGACACTGAAAAGCTAACAGGCAACACTCCAGTTTCACTTCAGTGTAAAGTCTTAAGGCTTACAAGCATGCTTTCACTGGGCACAGCATTTAGCTCCAGGAGCATCTATAGCATAAGTTCATGTAAATTACATGGGGAAATGAAGAAACTGGACAGAAAAATCCAAGTTGGGTCACCTTATGTTTGCTTTTATGGTTCAAGTATCTGCTGAAAAAGAAAATGTGACTTTCCTCAGAATAAAACAAAACATACATACTCTTTTGGATCTGTGGTTTTTCTTTTGCCCTGCCCCAGCACACAGCTAACAGCTGTCAGTCTATGACCAGCTATCTAATAGTAAGCAGACATTACCAATACCAGGCTCTTTGCATCCTTTGTAATTTAACTACCTCCCCTAACATTGACAGATACAAACCCTTAGTAAGTGATGCCAAGAAAGGAGATGCAAGTTGTTGTGATCCCCAACGTCTGTCATTTCCACTGTATCAAACCAATATTTAATTCTGGTCAAGTACGACAACTAAGGCTTGAGCATTTTGCAAAGGTCTTATCTGGGGAGTAATGCTAAGAGATCCCTGCAATGTATTGAGAATTAACATGGTTATATGTAACACTGAACTAAATTGCCAGCTTAGACAAGTCATTACCTCCTGGGCTATCTATGGAAGACCCTTGGGAGCTCTAGGCAGGTGACTTTTGGCCTGGTCCAAGTAATGCTTCTTCTCTTGCTTACCCTTGTGATTTATTTTTATTGGAAAGTCAGAGAGGAAGATCTTCCACCTGATGATTCACTCCCCAAGTGGCTGCAATGGCTGGAGTTGAGCCGATCCAAAGCTTTTTTCAGGTCTCCCAAGTGGGTATAGGGTTACAGGGAGCTGGTGTGAAGTGGAGCAGCTGGGACATGTGCTTGTGCCCACAGGGGATCCTGGCAGATGCAAGACTTTTAAATGCTGGGACAACTTTTCATTAAAGTGCCATTTATGTGGAAAATAATTGTCTCCCTATCCAAAATGCCCATTCTCCCTTTTGAGATGAGGCAAACACCACTGTCAAGATTTCATTTAGAAAATCCATGTTTGACTTGTATGCCTAGGTGGCACATTGGTTTCCCATACAGCATCTAGTGTGGTCTGGCAATGCGGCTAACTGCAGACTTCAGTGTTGACATGCTGCACCCCCATCCTGACTTAACTCATTTTCATCTAAATGCCATTTGGAGGATAACTCCACATTTAGTAGTCAAACCATAAGATGCAGTTTCATTTATCTGCTTGTTGACATGTCTTGCGTGTGTAAAATACATTTTAAAAATAGAGGGCCCAGTGTGGTAAAGTCCTCACCTTGAAAGCTCCAGGATCCCACATGGGTGCTGGTTCTAATCCTAGGGGGCCCACTTTCTATTTAGCTCTCTACTGTGGCCTGGGAGAGTAGTTGAGGATGGCCCTATACCTTGCGATCCTGCACCTGTGTTGGACACCCAAAAGAGGCTCCTGGGTTTGGGTCAGCTCAGCTCTGGCCATTGTTGCATGGGAAGTGAATCATCAGAAGATCTTCTGTATCTCCTCTGTATATCTGACTTTGCAATAAAAATCTTCTAAAATTCAATTTTCAAAACAATTTTCACTTCCATGCTTGCATCTCTATGCAACCAAGTCGTCATTGATTCAAATGCATATCCAGTTTATTGACAGGTGGAAGGGCCCACCACACTATCCAAACCACTTCTCACTTGCTTCACTGCTACTGTCAATAGTGCTTGCCTTGGGTCTCGGCTCCAGTACAGTGTTTATGTACTGCTTTACCACTGCTAGCTATGAAAGCTCTGCATAATCCAAGACACACCCTTTGTATCCCACCCCTTCCTGTCTTGCTGGACACACTGACCATTCCTTACTTATTTCCTAACACATGTTGCCTTTTTCTTGGTTCTGTGGCTAGCTGGCTTGATAATTGATTTTCTCAGTGAAACATGCCATCAGGGCTAGATAGATGCATAGTACCTAGTTTAGTGTCCACTATTCAATATGTATCCTGTAAACAAGTTTTATGTGGATCGGTCCATGAAAGCAGTTCTACCATAAAAAACAAAAAGATTTATTTTTATAGGAAAGTTAGATTTACAGAGAGGAGGAAAGAGAGATCTACCATCTACCAGTTCACTCTTCAGTTGGCTTGAGTGGCCAGAGCCAAGCTGACCTGAAGCCAGGAGCCAGGAACCTCTTCCAGGTCTCCTTTACTGCTTTCCCAGATCATAATCAGGGAGTGGAGAATTCAGGATACGAACCGGTACCCATATAGGATCCTGGTGCATACAAGGTGAGCACGTCAGCCATTAGGCTACCACATTGGACCCAGTTCACCTGAATGTATCAAGTGTCCTATTTCTTGACAGCTTGAAAAATAAAGTGGCCACAGGAAAGTTGGTGTTCTATCAAGATAGACTATCTTGCCAACTCTTATTTCTTAAATCTAAATTTCCAATAAAAATAAAGTTAAAAAAAATGCTGGGACTAGTGTGTGTCACAGCAAGTTAAACTTCTGCTTGCATAGCTGGCAGCTGCATCAGATCAGTGGCTGGAGTCTTGACTCCTCTGCTTCCTTGCCAGCACCCCGCAGAGGAACCTGAGGTGGCCCAGCCCTGGATGTTAATGGCATCTGGCAAGAGAATCAATAGGTGGAAAATGGTTTCAAGTAAATTTTTTCTTCAAAAATCTGTTTTATTGGAAAGTCAGATTTACAGAGAGAAGGAGAAGGGAAGTGTAGCAACTGGGACATGAACTTGTGCCTGTAGAAGATCCTAGCGTTTGCAAAGCAAGGATTTTACCACTAGGCTATTGTGCTGGTCCCTCAAATATTTTTTAAAGAATTAATGGATTCCTTTGTTAACAACCTGGGATGCTATTCAGCCATAGCTTATGCTACTTCACAGGTGCATTCGATAGGGTCAATGGTAACAACTGGGCTCAAATGACCCTTGTGACCCCTTTAACAGCCATTAAAGATGTGCAACAGACAAGTGAATGCACACGGGCTGCCTGTGTTCATCACAGAAACGGACCTAGGACTGTTTGTAGGATACCCCCTGAAACACGAGATTTGAACAAGCTGCTTCTGGTTTGGGACACGGCAGACTGCAGCTTGGTCAGTACATCAGAATGAAACCAGAAGAGCCACCCCACAGTGTGTGAATTGAACAAGGTTGCGAACAGCTTACCTGATATTTATTCATACTAACTGTGATAACTGTGTTGGCCAATTTTGGAGAGAAATGCCCTCAGAAAAGCAAGCAAGAGCAGGAAATGAAGATTTCCACACTGTGTGGAGAATGATCTAAAAAGATGGCCAAGCAGCGGCAGCCTGGAACTCAGTGTATTATTTAAAATCTGTGCCCCCGCCCCCGGTGGCTGCTGTGATTTGCATCCTGCTCCCTTCTAAGGTGCCTCGGAAGGCAGTGGAAGATGGCTCAAGTGCTTGGACCGACCTCTACCACCCCTGTGGGTGACCACGCCAGCCCCAGCTGTTGCAGTCATCTGGGGAGTGAGCAGAAGGATGGACGATCTCTGTCTCCGTGATTCTGCCTTGCCAATTAATCTGAAGCTTTTCACCCTGCATTATCTTTTTAGACCTGTTATTTGTCCTGAGACTAAAAACTGGGTTTCCTGCTCTTGGGAGCCTAAAGACCAGATTCATTACTTTGACCTTCCAATATGATAAATGCTGGAATGATAAACCCCATATACAATATGCCAGGGCTGAAGAGACGGGACACCTTAGCTTGGCTGTGGGTAGTCACGGCAGTTCTTCAGGGAGGCCAGAGCCTGGCTCAGGTTTACTATACCACAAATGAGGGGTTTTATCCCGAGATCGACCGCAATTTAGAACTACTGAACTATCAAAACAACTTGAGCAAGACCCTCAGAGCATGCCCCACATCAGGGACCCTGGGACGGGACGGGTGACCCTCCGGGTGGGGCTTCTTCCCTCACCTCTGCCCCCTTCGAGGCTCCAGATACGATGTGGAAACAATGGTCTCATCCACTTTCCGCTAACCCTTGACCCTTACCACTCTAATCAGCTATATAAAATTTAAAAAAAAAAAAAAAAGGTGCATGCCAGAGCTCTGTGCCTTTCAAATCAATCATCCAACACCTCGGCCTTTTCCTACGGAGGTAATGAATTCTTCAAACGCCCAAGGCATCTCTCCACGCGAAATGCAGCGTTAATGACAGGCATCGGTTATTTTCCGAATTCCTGTCATTCACCTTAACTTGCAATGTCCTTGTCAACACATTTTTCTCATCACGTCACAGGCCTCCGTACTGTTTCCTAATGACCCGCAGTAACACGTGCGGCTCCCCACCTCTCCATTTTGTCTTGACAGTTTAGATTAAAATGTCGGCGGGAGTGGGGCTGGTGCTAGCTACTTCAGTCCCGGTCCCCCGCATCGGCCCGCCCGCGCCTCGCGCCCGCTGCCCCGGGTTACCTTCCCCTTGCCGGGCTCGCCGGGCTCCGACACGGAGTCCATGGGGCACGCGCTGGGGCCGCCGCCGCCGCCGAGGGCCGCCCGGGCGGAAGCCGGGTGTGCGGCCGCCCCGCCCCGCCCCGCGCGCCGGCCGCCATCTTAGGGAACGTTCCTAGCGCTTTGCAGTGGGCGTGCTGTTGCGTCGTCGGCTGCCATCTCCTTTGTTCGGTCGAGCGGGGCGCCCTGTTTCTCCTCCAGTCCCGCAACTCGCGAGCGGCGCCCGGAGCGTGGGAGGAGGTGCGCTCCAGATATCATCCCGGCTGCCGCAGCCCCAGCGCGGGCGGGGTGCAACGAGGCCAGACCCGGCAAACGGCTGCTCTCCCCGTCCCAGTCCCCTCAGCCCCAACCGCCATTTTTAACCGTCGCCCGCGCGCTCGCTCCCGCGCTCGGGCTCCGGGCGCGCGCCGCGGTGCAGAAGGGGGGTGCGCGCCGCCGCGGTGGCTTTGTCTTGCGGGGCGGGCCCCGCGCGGAGGGTGGCCCGGGCCAGGGCACCTCAGTCAGGGCCCCTGACCTGGAAAGGCGACGGCCGCGGGCTCCCGAGTGTCCCCGTGCCCCAGGAGGAGCGCCCGAGCCAGCTCCACCCAGCCGTCGCAGCCGTGTGGCCCACAGCGCCTATCCCCTCCAAGTGGGCCTTTGGCGCCCACTCGCCCGCCCTGTCTCATTTTCGTGGCTTTAAAGTTCCGTTCAGATAAAGGTGACTAAAGGGCAAAATGGAGGGAGCAGCTGGCTCGTGGGCCTGCGTCAGGACGCTGGTGTCCAGCCGTGCGGGGCTGTGGGGGAGGGCAGGCCGAGGAGGAGGAAGGAAAAGAAAGCGAAACACCCGCCGCGCGCCATTTGGGATTCGGGTGGCTGCGGCGGAACGCGCTGCCCTGGGCGGCCAGGGCTGGGAGCGGCGCCTGCCCGCGTGAGGGGCGGCCGCGGGCCCCTCTGCCCTCCGTAAACCCTCGCTCGTCCCCCTGGAGCTTTTGGTGGGCTCGTCACGGTGAGCAGCCCCGCCGCTGGTAACGATGACGCCGCAGGATGGCACGCAGCGAGGGCGTTAGAGCGTTAGCTGCGAAGGGAGCGCTTTCTTGTTAAATTTTCGTGTTTTCTTGAAGCGGCAGAGACGAGGGGGGATCCCATTTTTACCCTTTGCTTTTTCAGGGTCACAGAATACTTTTCTCCAGCCACAGTAAAAATACAGTCCTAGTGACATGTAGGATGACTTGCATTTCTGTGTATTTGATTTTTCTTTTTTTTAAGATATGAGTACTTTGTAAATTAGGTTAACTCTAATATTAGGGAATGTTTTAAAAAGCTAACTCCAGCAGTGATATTCAGCCAGTTCACACGTCTCCACTGAAATTTTTGCACTTTTGGTTTTGAAGAGGATATTTTTAAAGAAGATTTATTAACGTATGAGGGAGAGAAACACGTCCACTGGTTCGCTCGCTAAATGGCGGCTGGGGCTGGGCCAGGCTGCAAGCAGGAGCTTCTTCCGGGTCTCCCACGTGAGTGCAGGGCCGCAGCAGTGAGGCCGTCCTCCCCTGGGAGCTGGATGGGAAGTGGCGACTGTGGTGCTGTGCTGCTTAGCTGGCCCCAGGAAGGGGACGCTTAAGGTAGGAGGATTCCATAAGGAATTCCGTAAGAAGCTTCTTGGAAAGAGAGGATAGCTGGAAAAGTACCAGGCAGAACACGGTTAAGTCATCCTGTTTCGCTTATTTGTTTTTACGTGCTTTTAATTGTGACTGAATAACTGTTGGCTTAGCTAGGGGTTCATTTCATTTGTCTTTTGGAAAGTAGTTTCATATGGGTTACTTTTTATGTTGAAGAATTCTCCTTTTAAAAAGCGTTGCGTAATTATGTCGTTTTTTGTTGTTTGGTAGTGTTTGTATAGCAGTTTACAGAGTGGAAATCAACCCCCTTTTCCTCCTAAGGTAAACACAACTAACTGATATTTCTCTATTTCTCTTTCTAAACTTTTTTTCCCCTTTTTAAAAATTTAATTTATTTGAAAGGCAGAGTTAGAGACAGATGTTTCAATTCCTTGCTGACCTCCCCAGTGGCCACAGCTTGGCTAAACCCAGGAGCAGGAGCTTCTTCCACGTCTCGCCTAAGTACTTGGGCCATCTTCTGCTGCTTTCCCAGGACAGCAGCACGGAGCTGGATGGGAAGTGCAACAGTCGGGACACAAGCTGTGCCATGACACTGGTCCTGAACCTTTTTTTTTAAATTGAAAGTTATTATATGAATATATATATCTTACAGTCATTAGAGCAATATTGGTATCAGATAAAAAAAAATAAGCTCTGTGTTGTGTATACACCTGCATTTGTGTCTGTACTTGGTAAACATCCATCAGAATGGTTATACTGCCCTGTCATTTACATTCAGTGATTTACTTTTGGCCCTTTATGCCTTTTTCTTAGGTTTTTTTTTTTTTCATTTAAATATCTCTAGGTTGACTAGTTCATGTGGCTTCTTAGTAATCCTTTGACTATTTTTTTTTTAAACTTGTGTAGAAAGTTGCCTTTGTTTTCACTCCAGAACAATGCTTTAGAGTATCTTTATACGTGGAACTTTGTGTACATGTTGAAGTATTCTGTAGGATCGGTTATGGAGGTGGAATAACTGACTTAAAGGGGCATATACCTTTAAAATTTTAAATTTTGAATTAAAAGATTTAATTCAAAGTGCTAAACTCCTCCAACAGTATTGCCAATTTATGTTTCCTATCAGCAGTGTGTGAGAATGGCTGCTTCTCAGCCCTGCATGTCATGTTTTACATCTGTTGTGTCTGATGGATTAAAACGAAGGAATAGACACTGGCATTGTGGCACAGTAGGTTAACCCACAGCTTTGGATGCCACCCTCCCATATCAGGATGCCAGTTTAAACCAGTTGTTAGTGATCTGGCTCCCTGCTCATGGCCTGGGAAAAGCATGATGGTCCAAGTGACAGGCCTGTGTCACTGCCCGTGACTGGTGTTCCTGACTTTGGTCTGGGCCAGCTCTGCTATTGTGACCATATGGGGAATAAACCAGTGGGTGAAAGGTCTCTCTTTCCTGCTCTCTGGCACTCTTTTAAATAAATGAATCTTTTTTAAAAAGTTAAGATTTTTGGGGGAAAAAAAGTAGAGAAATGGGTAGGGTTAAATCAAACTAAGAAGCCTAAGAAAACAGAGTAGAGACAGTCAACAGGATGGGAGAAAGTATTTTGAAACTCTGATTCTGATAGAGAGCTAAGGAGGAGAACAACAAAGCTGAACAAAAAGCAGTCCAGTTGGAAATGGGCAGAGGATCTGAGTAGATGGTTTTCCTTCTTTTTTTTTTTTTTGACAGAAAGGCAGAGTTGCAGAATGAGAAGGAGAGACAGAGACAGAGGTCTTCAATCCTCTGATTCACCCCCCAAATGGCCACAGCATTTGAGACTGGGCCAGGCTACAGCGAGGGGCCAGGAGAGATGCGAAGGGTCAGTAGGCTGGCCATTAGGGAAGTGCAAGGAAAAACTGACGAGGTTTTACCTTGTTCCAGCTATAGTGGGTGTTGTCCAAAAGTCAAACTATAACACATGCTACAAAGATAAAGAGCAAAGGGAGCCATAATACCTGATTGGGGCAAATGTACTTTAGTACGCATTAGTACAGTATGGTGATTCTTTTAAAAACTTAAAATAGATCCAGTCAGCATGTGAGAGAAGTAACTGCACTCCCATGTTTATTGTTGTCCATTTCACCATGAAAAGATATGAAATCAACTTAGATGCCTATCAGTTGATAATCGGATCAAGAAAAATATGATATGCCCACATGAAGGAATAGGACTCAGCTATGAAAAGGAATGAAATCCTCCTGAAATTTGTAACAAAATGGATAGAACAGAGCTAAGTAAATAAGCCACAGGGCTAGTGTTGTGGCACAGTGGGCCTATGATGCTAGCATCCCTTCAGTCCTAGCTGTTCTGCTTCTCAGTCCAGGGATCTGCTAGTGTGTCTGGGAAGGATGTGGAAGATTTCCAGTCTCAGACCTCTGCCACCCACGTGGGAGGTGTAGATGGAATTTCTGGTACCTGGCTTTGGCCTTGCCCAGCATGGGGTTATTGTGGCCATTCTGGCCATGCAGGGCTTGTACCAGGAGGTGGACGATCTTTTTCGCTCTATGCGTCTTGCCCTTTATCTTTGAATTGGTACCTTTCAGATAAATAAATACATATTCAAAAGTAGCCAGACACGGGGACAAGTTTCACATTTTCTCTTACTTGTGGAAGTTAATATATATTTATTATTAAAAACGTGTGGATACTGTATTATTTGATATATAGATATTGATAAATGTGTCTTCAATGAATTATGCCCCTTACATAATAACGTATCTTTCCTCACTTGATGAGCCTTTGTTATATTAATTTAATATCCTTGCTTTTGAGAAAAACAATGTGTATGCGTTTATAATGTTTACATAGAAAGTGAATATGGGGCTTGGCGCAGTAGCCTAGTGGTTGAAGTCCTCACCTTAGACACACTGGGATCCCATATGGGCCCCTGTTTGTATCCCGGCAGCCCTGATTCCCATCCAGCTCCTTGCTTGTGGCCTGGGGGGACAGTCGAAGAAGACCCGAAGCCTTAGGAGACCCAAAAGGGGCTCTGGGCTCCTAATTGGCTCAGTTCCAGCCATGATGCCACTTGTGGAGTGAATCATTGGATGGAAGATCTTCCTTTCTGCCTCTCTTCCTCCTCTCTGTATATCTGACTTTCCAATAAAAATAAAGTAAATCTTCAAAATAAAAAACAAAACAAAAGAGAAAGAGAATATGGTAAAGTGTCAAAAAAAAAATGCTGTTTATGGATGCATTGAGTTGAGCCACTGCCTGTTATACCAGCATATCATGTAAGTGCCAGTTCGGTTCTGGTTGCTCTGCTTCCCATCCAGCTCCGTGTCAGTGTGCCTGGGAAAGCAGAGGAGGATGACCGACCCAAGTGCTTGGACCCTGGACCTATGTCAGACCAGGATGGAGTGCCAGATCCTGACTTCAGGCTGACTCAACTTTACCTGGTGTGGATATTTGGGAAGTGAACCAGGAGATGGAAGATCTTTAAAAAAACAAACAAAAAAACCCCTCTAAATGAAAAAATTACAAATCAGAGAACTGAAGATAAACCTATGAAAAGATTATAGGGAAGAAACAAATTATTGGGAACTATCACAACAGTGTTCTGAGATTTGGGAAGCAGGGAAATGTAAATTAAAACAAGAGACCTGCTGAGTTAAAGTAAGGGATAAAGCCACCACCTTTGGTGCTGGCATCCCACATGTTCCCTGCTTCTCCTGGCTTCTCCACTTTCATTCTAGATCCCTGCTAGTGTCTGTGGAAATGTAGCAGAGGGTGGTCCAAGCCGTTGGGTTGCTGATCTGAAGCCAGGAGCCTCTTCTGGGTCTCCCACATCGGTGTAGGGTCTCAAGGTTTTATGCCGTCCTCTGCTGCTTTCCCAGGCCACAAGCAGGGGGCTGGATGGGAAGTGGAGCTGCCGGGATATGAATTGGCACCCACACAGGATCCCAGCTTCTGCATGGCAAAGTCTTTAGCCATTAGGCTATCGTGCCCCCAGGCCCCAATTCTGCCTTTTGAATAGGTCAATCTTTAAAAAAATCAGTGAGACACTGTTTTCACATTTTTCATTCCTATGTGTTGCTGAGGTGACTGTATTGTTGCAGTCACCTTGGAAAAAAAATTTTTTTAAGGAGAGATCTTTCACCTGCTAGTTTACTCTCCCCAAATGCCTCCAACAGCAGGGGCTGAGCCAGGCCACACCTGGATCTGTGTCTCCCCTAACGGTGGTAGGGCCAAGTCCTTGAGACACCACTTGCTGTTTCCTGGGTGCACATTAGCAGAGAGGTGGAATTGGAAGCAGAGCCAGGACTGAAAGCTGTGTACTGTGCTGTGAAGTGCCGGATACCTGCTGCTAGGCTCAAACTTTGTATCAGTATATATGATTTTCACAAAATTAATTTTAAACAAAATGTAAGTAGTGTAACAATATAGGAAGATTGCTGGCCTGGTGTGATGGTCTCAGTGGTTAAATGTGCCAGGATCCTGTATAGGTGGCAGTTCGTGTCCTGGCTGCTCACATTTCCCACATCCAGCTCTCTGCTTGGGTAGCCTGGAAAAGAGGAGGGTAGCCTGAAGCCTTGGGACCCTGCACCTGCGTGGGAGACCTGGAAGAAGCTCCTGGCTCCTGGTTTCCGATCAGCTTAGCTCTGGCCATTCGGTCCATTTGGGAAGTGAGCCAACAGATGAAAAATCGATATTTCTGTCTTTCCTTCTCTCTGAATCTGCTTTTCTAATAAAAATGAAATTTAAAAAAAGTATGAAGATTGCATTTACATAAAGTCTCAATCATACACAATAATACTGTGTGTATAGAGTTGTATTACGTGCTTAATAAATGCACAAAGGTATACCTAGAAATGATAACACCAAATTCAGACAGTTTTTTTTTATGGCGTGGGAGGGCATGTGGCTGAGCACAGGAAAGTGTGAGAGTTCAGGTCTCTGTTTTGATTTTTTCGGCTTATTTATTTTTATTGGAGATGCAGATTTACAGAGAGACACAACCTTACAGAGAGATCTTGTATCCGCTGGTTCACTCCCCAAGTGGATGCAATGGCTAGAGCTAAGCTGATCCAAAGCCAGGAGCCATGAGCAAGGCAAGGATTTAGCCACTTGGCTACCATGCTAGGCCCCTGTCATGTTTTCTTTTTGAAGTGGGTGACATGCAGGTACTTGCATGTCACATTTTTTAAAGGTCTTAAATATGCCATAATCACATTGAAAAGCAGTATAAATTCATCCTAGTTTGCCAGATGCAAAGAATTTATGAGGTTTGGCACTGTGGTGCAGCATGTTAAGATCATAGCTGCAATGCTGTGATACCGTATAAACTCCATAGAGTCTCAGCTACTTCACTTCTGATCATTTCCAATCCAGCTTCCTGTTGATGTACCTGGGAAGGTAGCAGAAGATGGCCTAGGTGCTTGGGCTGCCGCATCCACAAGAGAACTGGATGGAGTTCCAGGCTACTGGTTTCATTTTAGCCAGGCCCCGGCCTGGCTGTTGTGGCTGTTTAGGGAGGGAAACAGTAGATTAAACATAACTCTCTCCCTGCCTTTCACCTTTCTCTCTGTAACTGCTTTTCAAAGGAGTTAATAATTTTTTTTTTTTACAGATTTATTTATTTTTATTGGAAAGGCAGATATACAAAGAAGAAGAGAGACAGAGAGGAAGATCTTCCACCCGATGATTCACACCCCAGGCAGCCGCAACGGCTGGAGCTGAGCCAATCCGAAGCCAGGAGCCTCTTCCGGGTCTCCCACACGGGTGCAGGATCCCAAGGCTTTGGACCGTTCTCTCGACTGCTTTTCCAGGCCACAAGCAGGGAGCTGGATGGGAAGTGGGGCTGCTGGGTTTAGAACCAGGGCCTGCGTTGGATCCCAGTGTGTACTAGGTGAGAACTTTAGCTGCTAGGCTACCGTGCCAGGTCCTGGATGTATAATTTCATTTTTTGTTTTATTCCATTTATCTCAGAAACTCTAAGGGTTGCTTTCATTTAAAAGAAAAAATGTTTTTTGGGCCCAACACAATATAGCCTAGTGGCTAAATCCTCACCTTGCAACCTTGGGAATCCCATATGGGCACTCATTCAGATCCCTGCTTGTTTCCTGGGAAAGCAGTCAGGGATGGCCCAGAGCCTTGGGACCCTGTACCGCATGGGAGACCCAGAAGAATCTCCTGGCTGCTGGCTTCGAAACAGCTCAGCTCCAGCCGTTGTGGCCACTTGGGGAGTGAACCAGTTGGTGGAAGATCTTTCTCTGTTTCTTCTTCTCTTTGTAAATCTGCCTTTCCAATAGAAAATAAACAAATCTTTAAAAAAATGTATGTTGGTTTATTTTTATTTATTTGAAAGAGTGATAGAGAAAGAGAAACCCCATCTGTTTGTTCATTCCTCAAATACACACAACTGCTCGCACAGGCTGAAGCCAGGAGCCTGCAACTTCATCTGGGTCTCCCATGTGGGTGGCAGGGACCCAAGCACTTGTACCATCTGCTGCCGCTGCTCTACCAGACACATTGACAAGGAGCTGGACTCAGACCAACTCTGTCTCCCTTTCTGCTTCCGCTCCTTCCTCTCTCTCCCACTTCCTCCCTCTCCCTGTCCGTCTCTCTCACAGTGCCTTTCAGATAAATAACTCCTTAAAAATAGTGGTTTGTGCTTGCAGTGGACACTGGCTGAGCCTTTGCTTTGTCTGCCTCCTGCTGCAGGAGTCGTGCACAGGAGACAATGTCTGGAAGCTTCTACTTTGTCATTGTTGGCCACCATGATAATCCTGTTTTTGAAATGGAGTTCTCACCAGCCGGGAAAGAGGAATCCAGAGATGATCACCGCCATCTGAACCAGTTCATAGCGCATGCGGCCCTGGACCTGGTGGATGAGAGCATGTGGCTGACCAACAGCATGTACTTGAAAACTGTGGACAAGTTCAACAACTGGTTTGTGTCAGCGTTTGTCACTGCAGGGCATATGAGATTTATTATGCTTCACGATATAAAGCAAGAAGATGGAATCAAGAACTTCTTTACTGATGTCTATGATGTCTACATGAAGTTTGCAATGAACCCGTTTTATGAACCCAATTCTCCTATTCGGTCAAGCGCATTTGACAGGAAAGTTCAGTTTCTTGGGAAGAAACACCTTTTAAGCTGAATGCAGAAGAATCCTGAAACAAACTATATTACCGCAATGGGGTATACTCAGAAGTGTGTATATTGTAAGAAACTTGAATAAATAGCCTGGAGAACTTCAGTTTGTAGTCTGTTTATTTAAGCATAATGTAATGGAATTCCTTCCATAATTAAAAATAGTACATTCTGTTTCATGTCACTTATCCACTTACTATATATGTCGTATGGGCCCATGAATAAAATTATATCAAAGAACTCTTTATTATTAATCTGGATATATTTTTCTTTTGAAACTTGAGAGTGAGCTTTGTTTTTCCTAATTGGTATCAGATGATTTAGATGATACAGCAAACCAACAACAAATGTCATAGGCAAGATTTGGTAGACAGATTGAAAACAGAAAGACTACAGAGTCTGAACGAAATGGATGGCATATGCATTGCCTTAGATACGGGTCCTGTAACATATTAGCACGGAGTTACCATGAAACGTGACACTTAGATCTTCTTGTGTTTCTTTTCACTCAGATAGTGAAGTGGGATTAAGTGAATCTGAGCTCATAACAAAATGGTAAGGCAGTTACAGAATTCTTAAACAAAAGTCGGGATTACATTAGTGATTGTACTCTGTGCCTTTTTACATCAGAGTGGTGAATAGCCTCTGATCTTGCTGTAAAACAGTTTATGTCCATGGAGGATATGTAACATCTTACTTTTTTGTGTGTGCTAATTGGGAGCACTTGAAGAATTTTTTTTTTAATAGTTTAAATATTTCTTAGCTTAGTTTTATTCTTGTGTGAAGTTGCTACCATTCTCTCACCTTATTTATTGATTTCTAAATAAAGATCTTTGTCTCCCATCCCCCAAAGAAAAGAAAAATAACACTGACTTGCATGGAAAATTTGTGCCTTAGCTTTCTAGTCCTGGTTCCTGAGAAATCAGAAAGTTGAGTTTTATAGCTTGGTGATATGAGACTTTAACATGAGTGACTCCATTTTGATTTTTTGCATCTTGGTGCTTGCACGGGGAGGATTAGCCAATTGAGCTATTGCACTGGGCCTGATTCTGTATTTTCCGAGGTGGTCCCTAGCATAATGTCAGGGGCTGAGTCACATTCCAAAGGGCTGCAGGCTAGGATGTGCCTTACAGGGGAAATACTCTGTGTGTAATAAGCCTCATATAAGCATAGCGACATTGTAGACAAGGACTTAGTGCAAAGGTGATGAACCAAGAATGCATGTTAAATAAGGTGTTCTGGGCCTGGTGTGATGGCCTAGAAGCTAAATCCTTGCCTTGCATCTTCCAGGATCCCATATGGGCTTCAGTTTGTGCCCCGGCTGCTCCACTTCCCATTCTCCCTGCTTGTGGCCTGGGAAAGCAGTTGAGGATGGCCTAAGGCTTTGGGGCCCTTACCTGCGTGGGAGACCTGGAAGAGGCTTTGGGCTCCTGGCTTCAGGTCGATATAGCTCTGACCATTGTGGCCGCTTGGGGAGTGAACCAGCGGATGCAGGATCTTTCTGTCTCTCCTTAATTCTGTAAATCTGCCTTTCTAACAAAAATAAATCAGTCTTAAAAAAATAATGTGTTCCTACATGGGAACACATATACAGCGGGGTTACATATCAGTTGGTTGACCAAACTGTGACAGTAGGAATCTGACCATTTATTGCCTGCAGGAGCAGAGGTGCAGATCTATTAGCTGAGTGTTGTTGACAACTTTATAGAACACCGTCAGTGAGCGGGGGACAACACTGGAGGATTTCCTCTGGTGGTAGAGGCCAGGGAGTGGGAGGAAGTTCTGAAACAAAACAGAGCAACCCTGAGAACCATGCAGGTGTAAATCTAAAAACATGGTGGTGTTTTGTCCCAGGTCCTACCTTAGCTGGATGTCCACGGTTGTAGAAAGTGCTGTCTGTGGCAGGGGACACTGGGGAAGAGCGAGCGTGCCCCTGTCAGTTTCTGGCTGTGTTTGGTGTTCTGATCATGGCCTTTCCAAGTGCAGCTGCAGTCGCTCACGCTGACATGGCAGGTAACTGGCATGGAAGGAACACCTGTTTCGGCATCAGAACTACCCGGCACACGTCACAACGCTGGTGCCTGCTTGTTGTATAGCCTAATGCAAATTTCTAACTTGCGTGACTTGGTTTTCTGATCTGTAAAAATGGAGGCCACAGCCGCCCTTGGCTAAATTCCTGCCACATCTCAGGTGTTCTGAGAGCTTGTTGACTGTGCAAGGGGGCTGCATTGCCTGGGTTTACAGAGGAGGATGCAAAGGCCCAGTTAGGGCAAGTGTCTGGCCAAGCTCGCACAGCTGCAGAGCTGAGCCCAAGGTGCCACAAAAGGCCCTTGGGTCCCATCCCCAGCAATGATAGAAACCCCAGGGCCAGAAACAATGTGAGACAGTGCTAGTTTTGACACGATGGCTAGTATTTTGAGTGTCATTATTTCAAAGGAGTCTTTAAGAGTATTGGGGTAATTCAAGATGTTTTTATTCATGGAAGAACTTTTTTTTGTTTTTCTGGTCAAGATTGATCTAATTTTAACTTGAGAGTGAACTGAAGATTTCAGTGCATGTTTTCTTTATAGCAGTCTTCTGTGCAGCATCTCTTTTGCATTTAGAACAGGGTATTAGTGTTTGAGAGTGATTAAAACAAGATTTATTAATTTCTATTGGAAAGGCAGATTTACAGAGAGAAGGAGAGGCAGAGAGAAATATCATCCATCTGCTGCTTCCCTCTGTAAGTGGCCACAGCAGCTGGAGCTGAGCCGATCTAAAGCCAGGAGCCAGAAGATTCTGCTGGGTCTCTTACTTGGATGTAGGGTCCCAAGGCTTTGGGCTTGCTTTCTCAGGCCACAAGCAGGGAGCTGGGTGGGAAGTGGAGCAGCCAGGACATGAACTGGTGTCCCTATGGGATCCTGGTGCTTGCAAGTGGAGCATCTTGGGCCATTGTGCCAGGCCCAAGAATGATTTTTCAAAAACACAATATATTAAGTCATAACCTTTTCACTGGCAGCAGTATAAACTAATGAAAAATATTTTAAAAAGAACAGACAAAAGGAGAGGAGGGTAAGACTTGCAGCATCAGGGGCAAGTGTGTGCCGTGAAGCCATGTGTCACCCCTGTGGAGGGTCTGCGTTCGAGTTGTGGCTGTGCTGCGGACTTCCTGTTCAGGCTGACCCTGGGAGGCAGCAGGTGAGGGTCCCCGCCGCCCACTGGGGAGTCACCAGAAACCATGGAGTCCCTGGCTCTGGTGTGGGGTGTGCTGAGTGAACCACACATGGAAGATCTCTCTGCTTCTGTTTATCTTCCAAATAAGTAAAATAATTTTATTTTTCAATTTGAAAGACAGATTTTACTGAGGGAAGGAGAGAGAGGGCTCTTGTATCTGCTTGTTCAGTCTCCAATAGCCAGAGCTGAGCTGATCCAAGGTTGGGAGCTAGGAGCTCCTTCCACATCTCCCACATGGAGATGTGCAGGGACCAAAGACTGGGACTATCCACTGCTTTCCCAGGCAATAAGCAGGGAGCTGGATGAGAAGTGGAGCAGCTGAGACATGAATCGACATTCTTTTGGAATGCTGGCACAATAGGGCATAGGATTAGCATGCCATTCCACCATACTAACCTCCCAAAAAAGTACCTTTAAAAAAATTCAAGGGCTCAGCGCGGTGGCCTAGCAGCTAAAATCCTCGCCTTACTCTTACCAGGATCCCATATGGGCACCAGTTCTAATCCCAACAGTTCCACTTCCCATCCAGCTCCCTGCTTGTGGCCTGGGAAGGCAGTGGAGGATGGCCCAAAGCCTTAGGATCCTGCAAGCGTGTGGGAGACCTGGAGGAGGTTTCTGGCTCCTGGCTTCAGATTGGCACAGCACTGGCCATTGTGGTCACTAAGGGAGTCACTAAGGGCCATTGTGGTCACTAAGATATCCTCTCTGTCTCTCTTCCTCTCTGCATATCTGACTTTGTAAGAAAAAAAAAATTAAATAGCAACACACATATACAAAGTCATTTGACTTCTCAGCCTTGGAAATTCTGCCTGTCAAAAAGTGTGCAACAAGTTGACACTAAAATGTTCTCCATTGGCTCTCTCTCCTTCCCCAAAGCTCAAACAATCCAGCATTGAACAAGACAGACGTGGTCCCATCCCAAGAGAGAGGAGATAGGCTCAGGCATACACAATAGGGAAAGATGGCAGTGCTGTTGTGTCATGTCTCGGGCTCAGGTTAGCACTTGTGACTACTTTGTTAGGTCTTTTTAGTCTTGGGAGAAGCCAGGTACTGGGTGATAAGTAGCCTTACTCTTGCAGGTGTCTGTGGTTAAACCACCAGGAATTGCATCCAGTGACCGAGAAGAGTGAGGCACACACAGACAGTGGACGGCAAGGAGTAAGGAAAGTTAGCTAAGCAAAAACAGAAAGCAAACTTGTGCTAAGCTGCCACAGGGAGCGAGGTTCGGAGCAGGAATGCCTTAGAGGAAGTTGTCCGGGCAGGGGTCTGTATCTGGGGGTCCAGGGTAAGTTGGTACAGAGCTTCACAAATACGCCCGTCAGTCACCGCTGACCCTCTCCTCGCTGGGCGGGCTGGTGTCTGGAGCTGGAAGGGTCTGCCTGTAACCGCATCCTATTTACAAATTCATCTAGCTTGTTTTTGAGTAGCGAGGCATCTTGCTCCAGGCATGTCATTTCTGTAAATTAGGCTTGCATTTCTTCTTCCAAGTCAGGCTTAGGCTGACAGGTCCTTGACAGTCTCCCTTGGACCCTGTTCACTGCTGTGGGGAGGTGTGAAAACCCACCTATAACAGTGTGGCTACTGGGGCTGAGAGTAAAGTCTCCTGCGGGGGAGAACCTGCATGTCCTGCAGAGGCGAGTGAAATAACAAATGCATGCTGTGTCCAGCTGCTGAACTGGAAGGTAATTTGTGCATGAAACAGTGCAGAACTGCTCCCTCCTCAACTCTTTCGTTGGGTGCTTCTCCCTGCAGCCATGGAAAGCTTGTAACAGCCAGAGAAACCAGTTGAGCATTCTTCTGTGAGGTGAGACCCAGGTGGCTCAGTGTTGCTGGCAAAACCGAAACAATGCAAAAGAGGGCTCCTAGTTTCCCAGGGTCCTGGAGCCCCTCAGCCCTCTCCAATGCACTCACACCCATGAAGTCTTCCCTGGGCCTCCCAAGCTGAGGTTGCTGGCGATCTCTGTGATGACAAAGCCACTGGCAGCCGAAAGGAGCAAACATTTGAGAGTATTTCATCAGGTGCGCAGAAAAATGGAA